GGATGCCCTGCGTCCGCACCGTCCTCTGCCTCCTGGCGGCTCTGTCTGCCTGTGGCGCCGTCGCCTTCCTCGGCTACTGTGTGTACTTCGACCGGAAGCGGCGTGGAGACCCCGCGTTCAGGCGCCGCCTGCGGGACAGTGAGTGCGACGGCTGCGGCGGTGGCGCGGCCGGGCGGGCGGCGAGCCGGCCCACGGGGTGAGGGCTTCGCGGGGCGCACGCGGGCGTCGGGATGGCTCCCGAGGGGCACGTGCCCGGTTGTGTTTGCAGAAAGAAGAGCCCAGCACCAGAAGGCAGAGGGACGGGGCGCCCAGGTGAAGTGCTTAGCGACGCCGAGGTGGCGTTATAGTGCGTAACCTCCCCGCCGTGCAGATTCTGGCTCTGCGTCAGGGTCCCAGTCTGGTCCATGAGCGGGCATTTCGGAGCGCCCTTCCGCCTGCCTGCCCGCGCCCGGCTTACACGCGGGCGTAGTTTTTAATTGCTTACAAAAGGAAGGAAAGAAGAACGATTTGGGGTTATGACAAAGCTCATCCCGCTCTAAAAAGAGAATTCTTGGGGACAGCAAACATAAAACATAAAAAGTTTCCAGATAGACCAGACTGGAGCTGAAGTGATTGGCAGTAGAGTTGATACTTTGGGTCAAGGATTGTCCACTGTACCTACCTTTAAAGACCAGCCCTGGGGGGCGCCTGGGTGGCTCAGTCGGTTGAGTGTCCGACTTCAGCTCAGGTCACGATCTTACAGTCTGTGAGTTCGAGCCCCGCGTCGGGCTCTGTGCTGACTGCTCAGAGCCTGGAGCCTGCTTCAGATTCTGTGTCTCCCTCTCTCTCTGCCCCTTCCCCACTCATGCTCTCTCTGTCTCAAAAATAAATAAAAACATTAAAAAAAATTTTTTAAAAATAAAATAAAATAAAGACCAGCCCTGGGCTTGGTACCAGTGATGACGCCATCCTGCGATGCTGGTTACCTTCATGAACCAGCCTGACGCAAACCATAGCGTGCCTCTGAGCACCACCACCCACTGCCCCGCCAACCGCTCGTCGTGCCCATTGCCAAATCTACAAGCACTGTTAATACCCTAGGCAAGAAAACAAATTGGCAACATGCGAAGCTATGTTTGCTGTAGTTAATTACACTAGGACTTCCGCTATGTGTACGTAGAAGCTAGGTCAAATATAGATGAAAGTTATTACAAGCATCTCAACTTAATTTCGATATGCCATGTATTTTTTTAATCACCTAAAATTGTTAACTCCATTTTGAGTTGTTTTAAATATTAAAAAGAACAACTATGTTTATCATACTTTGGATTTAGAGACTGGGTGCAAGATACAGTTTTTTTTTTTAAATAAAAATTAAATAATTTTGATCAGTAACCCTATACCTTACATTCATTACTCATGGCTAAATATTTCGTGAATCTTTTAGTTATGGGATCCAGCAAAGAATGAAAAATTGCAAGAACTTTTTCTGCAAGAGGTACAAATGGGAGAACTTTGGTTATCCAGAGGTGAGAATGTAGACATTTTTTTGTAAGCGGTTACTTTTGATAATATAGGTTCAAAAAATATTTGATTGGTATTTGTATGTCAAAAAACTTAACTAGCTAGCTGTGTTAACTAACTTGCTTTTTAGTTAAAGAGAAACTGCCCCAGAATTTTTCCTTGATTCCACTGTTCATCCCTACCATATTATACTGAGCATTCAGGTTGATGGTGCAGTCTAGGAAATGGGCAGATGGAGAAGCAAAGCCAAATACAGTTAACACATCATTTATCATCAGGTAAAATTCTAAGTAAATGAACTTTCCAAATTACTAAATGTTGTATGAATTAAAATTTTAAAAAGTTTGAGCTGTTTCATAAAAATTTTCCTGCATTTTGAAGAGTATTCTTAATAAAATAATTACTATTTTTTTAAGTTCATTTATTTGAAAGAGTGAGGGAGGGACAGAAAGAGAGGGAGACAGAGAATCCCAAGCCAACTCTGTGCTGTCAGCACAGAGCCGGACTTGGGGCTTGAGCTCACAAATCCCGAGATCATGACCTGAGCCAAAATCAAGAGTTGGATGCTTAACCAACTAAGCCATTCAGGCACCCCAACAATTATTTAAAAAAAATTTTTTTTAACGTTTATTCATTTTTGAGAGATGGAGAGAGACAGAGCTTGAGTGGGGAGGGGCAGGGAGAGAGGGAGACACAGAATCCAAAGCGGGCCCCAGGCTCTGAGCTGTCGGCACAGAGCCTGATGCGGGGCTCAGACCCACGGACCATGAGATCGTGACCTGAGCTGAAGTCAGATGCCCAACTGAGGATAAATCATTATAAATGACCATTTTTGTATGTTTAATATAGTGATGTATGTAGGGGCTATAATGGCCATGAACTGTATTTTGAATTATAATTTATCCCAACCTATTTCCACATAGATTTAAGAAGACTTCACAATATTGTCAGGTAAAATGATGGTAGATGATGTAAGTATTTTATAAATATTGTGTATAGTAATCATGTCTTTGTTCTGGTGCTAAACCCTGGGAAGGAAAGTAATTTGCTTTTAGGCTTCTTATGTAAGGGATGAATGATGTTGCTGGATAAATGAGCATTATACCCATTTATGTATCTTTCTTTCAAGTTTTGCAAATTTCCTCTCATCATAGTGCCTGTACCTATTTTGGCTCTTTTGATTGTCTGTTTTGAAAAAATTTTGTTTTTTACCTGCATTTAAGAGGTAGCATCCTCCAGAATTTATGAAAACAAAGTCAGGATCCTGGACAACAGGTAGCAATACTCATGATTTTTACTTTAATTCAGTGGCTTAAAACCATGATAAAGGTTTTGAGAAATGAAAAAAATATTCAGAGTTATTGCATATTAATCATTATAATTTGAAATTTTAATATTCAATATTAGTCTTTTCTTTTAGGAAGTTTTATAAGTGGGCTAAAAATATCTTAAATATTAATGACAAAATTAATAGTTAGAACTGACTTAAATGATAGAAACAGGAGTAATTTTTTTTATTCATTGATTTTTGAGAGAGAGAAAGTGTGAGCAGGTGAGGGACAGAGAGAGAATCCCAAGCAGGCTCCACACTGTCAACACGGAGCCTGATGTGGGGCTTGAACCCACGAACTGTGAGATCATCATTATCTGAGCCAAAGTCAGACACTTAACTGACTGAGCCACCCAGCTGCCCCTAAACAGGAATGGTTTTATACAAGGAAGTAAAGCATAAGTTTTAAGGACCTTCATTTGCACAGGGCTTTTTGAATATTCTGGGAGGAGTCCTACCAATTTTGTATTCATAATTTTATAATCTTTTTATTTCCTTTTTTTCTTTTTTACATTCTTTGTTTGGGGCGCCTGGGTGGCTCAGTCGGTTAAGTGTCCGACTTCGGCTCAAGTCATGATCTTGTGGTCTGTGAGTTCAAGCCCCGCGTCGGGCTCTGTGCTGACGGCTCAGAGCCTGGAGCCTGTTTCAGATTCCGTGTCTCCCTCTCTCTCTGTCTCTCTCTGTCTCAAAAATAAATAAACGTTAAAAAAATAAAATAAAATTTTATATTCTTTGTCTTAAAAGGGCCCCCCAGGGGTGCCTAGCTCGCTCATTCAGTAGAGCATGTGACTCTTGATCTCGGGGTCATGAGTTTGGACCCCACATTGGGGGTAGAGATTACTTAAAAAAATAAAATCTTTTAAAAGAAAAGCCCCCCCCCAAATATAAACTAGGGGCCTCACAAAATATGTATTAATTCCTAGATGTGGATACTGCTTGGACATAGGGGGAAATTAAAATAGAATCTTTGTGTTTTAACATTTTTTGAATTGGGATAGTGTAAATATGGAGAGAAAAGTAGGAATTATAAATTAAAAACAGTTACTTTATGACACATCTTTATTCACTTTATGTTTAAGAGTCTTCATGTCATAGAGGTGAATATGTTACAAATATTGAGATGATTAAAACAAAAATTGCAAACTTATGTTTTAAAAGTTTTACCTCTTGGGGCGCCTGGGTGGCGCAGTCGGTTAAACGTCCGACTTCAGCCAGGTCACGATCTCGCGGTCCGGGAGTTCGAGCCCCGCGTCGGGCTCTGGGCTGATGGCTCGGAGCCTGGAGCCTGTTTCCGATTCTGTGTCTCCCTCTCTCTCTGCCCCTCCCCCGTTCATGCTCTGTCTCTCTCTGTCCCAAAAATAAATAAAAAACGTTGAAAAAAAAATAAAAGTTTTACCTCTTAAGGATAACATATTTCTGTTAAATCCCTAAATTGGTTAGTTATTTAAGGGTTATGTATGTCCCTATTTTACTTCTAATGGAGTTCTCATTTTGGTTGCTTACTTAAAATCCCACCAAACCCCAAACGAATTAAATAAAAATTTCTGGGGTGGGACTCAGGCATCAATATTTTTAAAATGTCCCTAGGTTATTATAATACACTGAGGACCAGCATTCTAGTATGATTTTTCACCTAGTTTTCTGTAATCTTTTCCATTTTCTCCACTTTCTTCTGCCTCCACCCCCAATTTTCGTTCCTTCGCTGTCAGGTAGTATAGTCCTCATCATGGTTGTGTTCACATAGGACCACAGAGCCAATAATTTTGATTGAAATTTCTGATTAGCTGATTTGATTGAATTTATTGGTTGGTTGACTTAGTTGACCAAATTGATTTTGTGTCACATTAGCTCTATCAATTTGAGAGGAGGCACTATTATATCTTTTTCCTTAAAAGGTTCAATACGATCAAAGTATTTTGACTTAATGTGTCATGTCTATAAAGCTGTGATTTTATTAATTTAAAAATAAACCTTTCAGTGAAATACTAGTGCAGTATTCCATCTAAGAAATACCTTCTTTAAATGCCTACAAAGTTACTTAAAACCCAGCAATGGAAGTTTCTTAGGTTGAAAACGTAAAATTAGGTGTCTAGACACAAGACCTTTAACTCTTAAAACTTATGTAATATAGGCAAGGTTTGCTTTGTGAGTCTGAGTTAGGTCATGTTCTTCTGATGGTTTTTCAGTTTAAACTTCATACAAATCTGGGAACATTGTTTTCTATCATGCACTTTTATCTTCAGATGACCAAGTATTTCAACCAACAAATGGAAAATCATGAAACACCTGAGAGGCAAGCACACTGTGTTCAAGGTTCAGAAAATTAGGTTCTATTACTAATTATGGCATTAAATAGTTCTGAAACTTTAAATCATTTCACTGATCTTTGCCTCAGTTTCTTAGAATGAAGTAGTGAGACTAAGTGTTTCCATGTTTTCACTCAAACAAATTCTATGATTGGGGCACCTGGGTGGCTTAGTTGGTTAAGCATCCGACTCTTGATTTTAGCTCAGGTCATGATCCCACGATTCATGAGTTTGAGCCCCGCATCAGGCTTGGCGCTACTCAGAGCCTGCTTAGGATTCTCTCTCTCCCTCCCCTTCCCCCACTCTCTCTCAAACATTAAAAAAAAAATTCTATGATTAACTTCCACATTACACAACTTTTCATTCTTACTTTACAGCCAATCACCCTAAAACTCATTTTAAAACTACTTAGAAGTCAAAGTTCATAAATCTCTTTTCTTCCCCTATATATGTAATTCATGTTACCCTAAACCCTGTTTTAAACTCATTGATAATAGGATTTGTTTTTGAATTCTTATTTAGCCAGAACATCAGGTGTTTCATTTATGTTTCATCAGTCACACATGTAGAGTTAAAGATAACCTATCTTCTATCAGTAACAGCAGACCACAACATTTAAAAAATACTCAACACCCCTTTCTCGCAAACCCACATTGCAGAACATGCAAAGTAAGAATGCACTTTTTTTTAAATATTATTTTTGAGAGTGAGTGTGAACGGGGCAGAGGCAGAGAGGGGGACAGGGAATCCAATGTGGCTGTGCACTGTCAGCACAGGGCCTGACACAGGGCTCCAACTCGCGAACCAGAAGATCATGACTTCAGCCAAAGTCAGCCGCTTAACTGAGCCACCCAGACACTCCCAAGAGTGCACTTTTTAATAGTAATTTGGATCATAAGACTATTCATCTTGCAGCTTGATCACAGTGAATCAAAAATTTTTAAATGTTTATTTTTTTTGAGAGAGAGAGAGCGTGAGCAGGGGAGGGAGAGAGGAGACACAAAATCCGAAGCAGACTCGTCTCTGAACTGTCAGCATAGAGCCTGACGCAGGGCTCAAACCCACAAACTGTGACATCATGACCTGAATCAAAGTCAATGCTAAAGCGACTGAGCCACCCAGGCCCCTCTGATCACAGTGAATCTAATTGACAGCTCAGCATTTGTCCCATTTATAGTCTTTACTCTTTTTGTTTATTTTGAGAGAGCATGAACCAGGGAGAATCAGAAAGAGTGGGAGAAGGGGAGAGAAAGAAAGGGAAAGAGAATCCCAAGCAGGCTTGTTTATATAGTCTGTAGTTTGATAATGCTTTTTTCATTTTAATACTTGGTGTTTTCTTGGTAATTTGTGGAAGGTATATTTTGAAGAACGTTAAAATTTTGCTTTAAACCTTATCAATCTTTTTTAGGAGACCATCGATTGGGGGTTGAACATCTCAGCAATGCCCTTTTAGTGTGTGGACAACCAGAGGAACTTCTGAAGGTTTTCAAACACACACTCCCTCCTAAGGTATTTGAGATGCTGTTGCACAAAATTCCCCTTATTTGCCAGGTGAGCATGTACTTGTCTTTGCTAAATTAACCATGTTAGGCTTGATTACATAAAAATAGCAGTTTGTGTGTGGATGGCCCAGGGTTTTAAATGAGTAAAATCTCTGAATTTTTGGTTGCTTTCTTGCCTGATGAGGGAAACAAGCATATTCTTTCATGTTTCTTTAACTATAATGAATTGTTTATTTTGCTGAGTCTCCTAGATGTTTCAACATTAAAGAGAGCATTAATATTTTGTTTTTGTACTTTCAAAGACACAACAATTAGTGACTGCAATGTCAACAGAAGCCTGTAAAATAAATGGTATTGTTAGTTATATGATGTAATAGCTTCAAAATTAGATGTAATACAGAAAACCTTAGTTTATCAAAGCAGAATACTTCTGGCTTCAAATAATATGACAAAACAGAAACCACTTTGATAATGTAAACATATAGGCTAATTATAATTAGTACTCTCTTAAGTGCAAGTTTAGATTGGTATCAAATGAAATCCATTCATAAGTCCATTTATTAGTAGGTATTAGTCTATGTACATTTTCCAAACTGCTTGGTATACTTATGCATCAACTAGAATTTTCCTGCAGATGTTTGGATTTGTTTTAGGATTCCTTTAGCTCTAAGACACTACTATAACTTCGGTTCACTTTTTATTGCATTGATCACATGACATAGCTGAGAATACACTGTATATTGTTAGACTCTCAGCGTTCGGACAAAACACAAAACACAGTCTTCACTAGAGCATAATAGTCAACTCTTAAACATTCCCAAGGTAATCTCAGATGGGATGTTTCCTGAAGATATATGAAAATATGGCTAGGATAAGAATGTGTAATACCCATCCTGATGCAAGAAGGGAGGCAAGAAAAGGATTGTGCATTGAAATTATTAGCAAGTAACTATTTTATGTATTTACCAGCAATTTGAGACAGACATGAATGAACAGGAATACTTGGAGGATGATCGTGATTGAAAAACATTTCAACGTATCCACAGTCCAGTCAGCATACTATGGTACTATATATAGTATAAACAACTGCTCAGTGATATTTCCATTTATTTTACTTTTAGTAATAAAAAATTTTTTCTATCTCATACATGATTGAACACATTATTTTGCTTTTAAAATTAACAGTCACAATTGAAGAAACACTGGTTTATTTATCTAATGAAGTTACCAAGCTGCTGAATCTTAAGGCCTCAACAAATGTTGCATCTTATTATTTTGATTGAACAATAAGACCTTCTATTTTGATTATTCATGGTAAATAGCAATTTTGTTTCTCTAGTTGTTTCCCACTTGCCAGACAGTCATGACAGTTTAACATGGTGGCTACTGCTTTCGGGGGATTCCATCAGATGAATCCTCATTTCCATCACAACAGCTGCTGGCAATGTTTCATCTAAAGTCCAGCCATCAGGACTCCTCTATCGTGGTTGGCCAAGGAGTCCTGCTTTGGCTGCCAGGGCTTCATTCTGCTGAATATGATATTCCTGAAATCTCATGGATATTCTTTGTGTCATTTTTAAATATTTCTGTAAGCAATGTTCTGAACAGGTGGTCTAGAAATAAAAAGAGAAGATCCAAGAGGCAACACAGAAATATTAATGTTTTTAAACAATGCATGTATTTTTACATAAACAACCAGTGGGTGCTTTTCTTTTCTTTGAATATATGAGAACTAAGTGGTATTGAGTAGTGAGTGATCATAGCTTTCAATTGTTAATAGTTTCATCCATTTACAAAAATTAATATATACTGAATGCCTACTAGTTTGTAAGCACTAAAAACAATGGTAATGTCCCTGCCTTTTGCATATCTCATTCTGATTGTTAAAACATAGGCCCAGTAGTTTGTTCCTTTTTAATGAGAAGCTCCATTCCCAATATTCTTAAATTTCAACACTTCTTTTTAACAAGAATATTATACTTAGCATTTTTCAAACTTTGTCATTTATTTAACAAGGACTTACTGATTGCTAGTTATATGTTCTTGGCATGAATGAATATCACTTTCAGCCAATATATAAATGTTTTGATGAGGGTGTTAAAAGTTACGACTTCTGAGAGGATTACGTTTTCAGAGTCCACCTATGCAATATGAGCCACCAAATTTAAGCTCTGCTTTTTCCAAAATTAACCTGAATTCTCAGGGTCAAGTTTCTCTAGCCAGGCCATCTTGACTGAAAGCTAATTAGTAAGAATCTTTGCCATGGAACAATAATTTAGCAAGCCCCAGGCATCTTAGCTAAAAAAACCAAAATCTGCCATGGTACGGTAGGACTGTCATATTAAATTTGGGATCATTTAACTCAAGGCCATGGGTCTCGACTGCTTCAGTTCCTCTGAGCAATGGAACATAAAACCACATTCCTGTAATAACTAGGAACAAGCGAAATGGTGAGGGGGGGGATCTCATTTCTATTGTTTATGACAAGCTTTCAGAGTTTTTAGTGGGCAGTGCTTTTCATACCTCTTCAGGTTTTACTTCTCTTGTTGTGAAGTCTTTAACGCAGTCCAAAAAGCAGGTTTCTGTAAGTTTATTGTAGGTTCCAAGAAATTCTTTAAACTACGAACAAATCAGAGCATTCTTTAATATTTGGTTTTTTAAAACAAAGATGTTTTGAAACTTTAATTACTGATGTTTTGTATTTGGGCAAAATACCCTGTTATACTTGAACTAAAAAATTCTTTCCTTCACTCAGGTGGGTATAGTATGACCTGTAGAGTATGATCTATAAAACATAGTCAAATTTTCTAGTTAAATATTTTTTTTTTTGCATTATCTGTCAAATTATCTGAAAAAAAAATGTTTCATATGATTTAAAATCCATTTTTGGAAATGAAATTTGAAGTTATTTTGTGAGATCACTGACTGACATGGTTGCACCCAGAAGTGCCTTAAATTTTTTGCAAAATTCTTTTTCATTAATTGTAATACCTTACCTGTTTTATCTGATCAGATTCTGGTATTTGTGCAGCCATATTCTTTTGATATGTTTATTAGTCACCTAATTTAAAAATTAAGGAAAAGTTAGTCTGTGAACAAATATTTTTTGGCTCACTGAAGAGTTAGGTATTAAAACAAATACAGGTTATTAAAAGAAATGAAACGAAGTTTACCTGAAATTATTTTCTTTATTTTATAAATTTCTAACGGGGTATGTAATTATATCCATCCTCCCAGGTCATTAATGGCAACAAGGAACGCTATAGTTTAGAATTAGATTTTTTTAATGTTGGCCGTGGGCCCCGTTTATCTAAATCTCGTTTTAAGACAGCTTGCTTTGCTACCTTGCAAAGTCACTTGCCACAGCCTCATTCCTAGTAGTTTTAAGGGAAACCAAGAGATCTCTGATGTCTTCTTCAAGTACATAACTATTCCACTGGTTCCTAATGTAACTCTGATCTAACATAACAACGATCCTTCTGTTATCTCTACATAAATACACAGCTTCTATTAATTGTTCTTAAGCACCATCCATTTATAAATCAACAACTGTAATGAAAGATACTCAGTTTTCTAAAAGACTTTAATGGAAGTACAGGAGTTGTACATTCTGTAATTCAAAAAGTGTAATCACAGAGACTTATTAGAAACTTTTGAACCTATGACACTTGTGATCTAACTTGGGGGCAACAAAGAAGTGAAGATAAGTCAAAAAAGCCTTTCTGAATTACTAGGATTTTCACATTGTTAAATGGAGAGCCCAGGCTCAGTTAATCCAGATATAAAAACGTATCCCATTACTTACTTGTTCTATTCTGGCTAGTTCTACAATAGATGAACATCTCATATGAAAGATTTATATAAAATAAAGCTTTTTAAAAGTAGAAATTAAACAGCATGAAAAGGGAAGAATAAGCAAATACTAACCATGTATACTGTAAACTAACAGAACTTCTAGGCATTATATTTAGCTTTGAGTTTTCTGATACTGAATGCAAACATGATAAACCGAAAGTGTGTATCATTCTTATAGACTTGTCAATATCTAAAGTGGCTGTGAAAAGCAGGAAATTTTCATGAAGCTTATATGGAGATAAAACTAGGAAATTTCAGCACAGGACAAAGTGTACATTACTATCATGAAAAAAAATTTTCATTTTGATTAATTAATACAATCAGTAGTAATTCCATTGCAGCATTTCCAACCACATATACACCTGCTCCTCTTTTGCATTTATTCTTTACTCCTCTTTTTTCCTTATCCTTAAGTTCCTATTACTGACTTTTTTTTCACATGCAAGGGAAAGTACTCATTCTTTTCTATCTGGTTTTTAAGATATTTATATTGTTTATTTTTGAGAAAGAGTGTGAGTGGGGGAGGAGCAGAGAACAAGGGAGACACAGAATCTGAAACAGGCTCCAGGCTCTGATCTATCAGCACAGAGGCCAACGTGGGGATCGAACTCAAGCAACAGGGGATCATGACCTGAGCTGAGGTCGGAAACGTAACCAACTGAGCCAGCCAAGTGCCCCTGCTCTTCTTTTTTTTAAATAATTTTTTTAACATTTATTTTTGAGAGACAGAGACTGACAGAGCACGAGTGGGGAGGGCAGAGAGAGAAGGAGACAGAGAATCCGAAGCAGGCTCCAGGCTCTGAGCTGTCAGCACACAGCCCAGTGCGGGGCTCAAACCCACAAACCATGAGATCATGACCTGAGCCGAAGTTGGATGCTTAACTGACTGAGCCAACCAGGCGCCTGTCTACTCCAGATGTTCTAGCCTATAGTTTTCTTTGAAGTAATGATTCATAAAAAGTATAATTGTCTATACTTAAGAGAATCTTTGGCTTAGCAGTAACATGATATAGACCATCTTTGCTATTAAACCTCCTCTATATCCCTTACAAATAACGCAGTAGAGGTTTTAGGTTAGCCCAACATGAGGCAACTAGCGTTCCATAAACACCGAAAACGTTAACAAGAATGCTCTTTATTCCTATTTTATTTCACTTTGTAAACAACATACAGTTGACCCTTCAGCAATGTGTGTGTTAGGGGCACCAACCCGACACACAGTCAAAAATCCGCATGTAACTTCTGACTCTCCCAAAACTTAACTACTGATTGGCTACTGTTGATTGGAAGCCTTACTGATAGCATAGCCACTTAAGACATGTTTTGTATGATATATGTATTATGTGTACTGTATTCTTACAATAAAGTAAAGAAAATGTTAATAAAATCATAAGGAAAAGACATTTATAGTACAGTACTGTAAAAAATCTGCATAAAAGTGGACCTGTGTAGTTCATACCTGTGTTGTTTTTCAGGGTCAACTGTGTATGTTTTTACCACATAAACTACCTCAAAAATACCAACAGTTACTGCAGGTCACAATTTTTTAGGTGTTACTGTGCTGTTATAAAAAACCACTAACCAAAGAGACAGAGGATTCTATAAATATGTCATACAATGCAGTTTAGGACTAGTGCTTCTGGGAAGATGGAGTGAGAGATGTGCTTTTCCCAATTCCTCTCACTAAATACAACTAAAAGCCCTGGACATTAAATATAAGACAAACCTGAGACTAAAAGGTGGAGAGAAGAAAGTGTATTGGCCAGGACCCTTGGGAACTGAGAAACAAAATAGTGGTGAATTCTCTTTTTTGCAAAGAGTTAGAGCTGAAGAAGCCAGCAGTCAGCAGATGCCAATGGGCACAAAGCCCTCCATGCCCCCAAAGCTGGTCCTCTCTAGCCAAAGGGCCAGGAAAGGGGCAGCCTATAAGACAGAAAACTTAAAAAAAAATTTTTTTTTGAACGTTTATTTATTTTTGAGAGACAGAAAGCATGGTGGGGGAGAGGCAGACAGCAAGGGAGACACAGAATCTGAAGCAGGCTCCAGGCTCTGAGC